TATATATATATATATATATAGACGTTAAAGAACGATGAAGTTGGATAAGCACAGCGTGAGCTTAGGCATCCAAGAGATTATAATTCGAACAGCAATTAGCAAGATAACTATACATCCCTGAGCCCTCTAAAACCTTCCTATTCCTAAACCTAATGGGAGTAAGATGATACTGAGATTACATTTCTTTGTTTTCCTTGAAGTAACATATTATAGCTTCGAAAGATGGGTCACTTCTCCTAGTTGCAATGGCGGATCTATGTATTAATTTTAGGTGCTTTTGCACCCATTGAGCTCCACATAAACAGTGTATAGTTATATCAAAAATATAGATAAAAACTATATAAGATGCTAGCAAGCACCCATGAACCAAAAAAACTAGTGGGAGATGTAGTGTTGAGGTTGAAGTAAAGGCGTGTCTGAAGCTAGATGTGCGGGTTCGATTCCTACTTGACTTGTGACTAGAAGTCTTTTTTTGATAATGATAATATTAACCATAATTATTATTTATTAACCTTAAAATTCTGGATCTTGTCACTGCATACTTGTTCATATTTTAATTTATTCAAAAAGTTAATGATGAAAGAAGAAAGATGGGAGTGGTGTAGTATATAGTATAATATTAATATTATAAATGCATAATTGCATATCCGTCGGACCCAGCCACTGATTGATGAGGAAGAAGTTGGAAAATGGCTAGAATGGAGCGGCACGGTGATCGAGAGGTTGGTGTATGCCTGATCACTGGCTCACCATCAATTCAATGAATTTTTTTCAGATGCACCGCTACGTTTGAAGTTCGCTTTACCACAAGTTTAGAATCTTTGAAGTCTGATAAATTCCAGATTTCCAATCTCTGGAGGTGTTATTGAGCTTTCAACCTATTCATGCTACAAAGAAAATCTTGCAACTATGAAATCTGACAGTTGTTCTCCCTAAGATTCAAATAGGTTAGCCTAGATAATTTAACGAAAATCTTGTGAATGTGTAACGACCCGACTGGCCGTTTTGAGTATTTGTAGTTCGCCGATGTTTTGATGGCTCGATTATCTCCGCATAGTGTATTATGACTTGCGTAAATCGTCGGTGTTGGTTTTCAAGTTATCCGGAATCGATTTGGAAGAATGAACGTCAAGATTTAAGCTCTAAGTTAGAAGAGTTGATCAAGTTTGACTTTTTAGCATTTGACCTCGGAATGGAGTTCCGTCAGTTCTGTTATCTCCATTGGGTAATTTTGGACTTAAGAGCACGCCCAGATTGTAATTTGAAGGTCCGTAGTCGAATTAGTCTTGAAATGGCGAAAGTTGGATTTTTGAAAAGTTTGAACGGGAGTGGACTTTTTGATATCGGGATCAGATTCTGTCACAACCCGAAATTTCCACCGTCGGGACCGTGATGGCGCCTAACATCACACTTGCTAGACAAGCCAACGTTAGAGGTTATTTAGCCATTTCTTTCCAGTTTTAGTAATCATCAGTAAGCAGGCAAAATGAAGCGAAATAAATGTAAGATGCATAGATATCAATTACGATTACATAATACTCCTACCCAGAGATCCGGTGTCACAATTCACGAACACACTATGATTTTCTGCAAACATCAGTCTAAAAGAAATTACAATTAGTTTGAAAAAAAAGAAAACAGTAATATAGAGATGTAGAAAGGGACGCTAGGGGCCTGCAGACGCCAACAGGACTACCTTGGGTCTCCTAGTTGAAAATATCTGCAACCGACCTCTCGATCGGCCACTACCTGCTCCAAAATCTGCACAGAAAGTGCAGAGTGCAGTATCACCCATGTACTGATAAATGCCGAGCCTAACCTCGACGCGGTAGTGACGAGGCTGCGGCGGGGCAATTACAATAAAACCTGCATACAGTGTGTAATAAAAGCAGAAAGAAGGACAAGATAATATAAAGCAGTAACTTGCAAGAACTGAACAAAGAACTCAAGTGTCTTGACAGTATCCAGCTATAACCAATCCTTAAGTGATATGTAAGGCTACCGAATAACTTACACAGTAGAAGAAAGATACATAGACACATAAAGTGATGCGGCGCGCATCCCGATCCCACCATATATCAATGTCAATATGAATATTCACCCTTATTACTCTATATTAATCCACCCTTATTCCTCCTGTTACGCCGTGCAACCCGATCCCACCGTATACTACCATTTCACCCTTATTCCTCCTGAATATATCACCTTTATTGCTCCTGTTGCGACGCGCAACCCGATCCTACCATATAAGCATAAATTACTCAACAAGCACAGAAATTTCACAAATTAACTCAAAACTCTTCAGAATATTTAAACCTCAAACCAAAGCAAACGGAAAGCTTGTACATTATGAAACTTCACACAAGTAATGCTACTCAGCGAAACCAATCCAAAGTATACCACAAAATACCGAAAAACCACTTTAAGCCAATAATATGAGACAATTATTGGCTTGTAATACACCTATTACAAGCCACTTTGCAATACACCTATTACAAAGACTTCAACTCATGACTAACTCTAGTGACGATACAAACACTAAGGGTTTATGGTTTTACAAGGGGGTTCCTAAGCAATGCTTCTAGCTAAGCAAATTAGGAACTACAATGAAGAACAATTACAAAGTCACTACTCAACTAAGGACAATAAGATACTAGGTTTAGGAACTGGTCCGTAGTAGTGTTAAACTTTGTTCTTGATGCACTTGAGAATTGAATACTCGAATATCATATGGCTTGAATGCTTGAAGTGAATTCTCAAGTGTTCAAGTGATGTTTTGTTGTAATACTCTTGTTAATACAACTTGGATGACATCACTTGAATGATGTAATCACTTGGTTGGTCAAAGGACAAGTGACCGCAGAACTGTGTTGCACTGTTTCTGTGTACAGTGTAGGCAGTCACTTTCCAACTGTACACAGTTGACTTCGTACTGCTGTCAGGGAAACACAAGGGATCAGGTCCCTGTGTTGGTTCTCTATCTTCTGAAGTTGTAGCAATTCACATTAGCTGGAGTCCGTTGATTAGCAATGTGTACCAAGTTTGTCAGGTTCCCTATCTGGTTCTTTGACAATAAGTTTGTTAGATCATCAAAACATAAAGCTAAGACATTGGAAACCCATCAATAGATAACACGTGTCAAACAATAAATGGTCGTGTTTGACATGTAAGCGCAATTGATATACACACTCGATTGGATGTATTTATTAGTACTCACTCCGTCAAGTTGAGGTGTTCAAATGAAAAAATTTTAAGTTTATTCATCGGATTGACAATTGGGTGCAAGTTTAAGTGGCCAGGAGGCCATTTTGCCAAAAAAATATCCAATTTGCAATCGCTAAAAGTAATTTATACTGTTTTAAAAGGCTTTTATGGGACTCGCCTCGAGGCTCGCCCCGGGGTGGGGCACTATCAAAACGCCTTGAGACTCATATGTGGGGCTTAGTTCTCTGAGGCTTACGCCCCCAAGCGCCCGACGGTGCGCCCTAAACACCCCTAACGCTCAACGCTCGGGACTCGCCGAACAATTCCTATGCAAATCATGTGTTGAATTCACTAATTTGCATTGTTAACTCTCAAAATTCTTTAACAAATGAATGATTAAAGTTCTATTTATCTATAAAAATATGAAAATTGTGAATAGCTCAAATAACGAAATATATTATTGCATACTTACTAATTGAGAACATTGTGAGGGTGAATATCATTTGAACATTTCTTCTAAAAGTAGATAACCAAAATTTATATCTTTACTTGATAGATATTCATGTCTTAGTTCTATGTCTCTCAAAATAATCATAAATTTTTCGTTTTACTATTTAAAAATAATTTTATATTTACTCATGAAGGAGTAATATTTTAAATTACAGTACTGAAAATTTTATTGTGTATTTACTTTTAAAGAGGTAAAATATGCAGTTTGATATATTTTTGAAGAAATTATAATTTTTAATTGTTTGAGAGTTAAGAGGTTGGAGTTTTCATAGTAGTTTTAACCGTATTGTATTATTTATACTTGTAAAACATGCTAAATATTTTATTTTATATGAGTTTCTTTAATTCTTTTTAGTTTTCTTGAACTTTTAATGTATCTCTTATATTTTATTGTATTATAATGCTATATTATTAATTCATAAATTTTAAAAATTAAAGATATGTGAGGCTTACGCCCCATGTCTCGAGGCTTTCGCTCGTCCCATATTAAGAAAAATGCTCCGCCTCACGCCCTCGCCTTTTAAAACACTTGTAATTTATCGTTTTCGTTTCAGAATATAAACTTTTGCAAATGTTTTCAAACGTAAATAGGAAGGAGACCTAATCTCATTATTTCAAGGGCGTACAGTAGATTGAAGAATTAAGAAAGTGGAAATTTTAAGGTCAAAAATAGATAACGTCCCGCTATGTGAATTAGGGCCGTGCATAATTTGGTAAATACCAAATAACCGTACCGATACCGAAAATTTTGGTATTTGGTATACGGTATTTTGGTATTTGGTATGGTATTTGGTTTAAGTTTTTTAAAATA